CATTCCATCTCATTTCCCTTTGGGGTTGCTGTAGGTGATCTGGAAGTCTGGTTTTGAGACTTATTTATGTGTTTTCTCATTTTGACTGGGGGGGTGGGGGAATGCTGTTGGCTCCTGCACGGATTACCTCCTCTGAGCTGGGAGAGGTGGGACAGGGGCCGGGAGCGGCTGTAGGGATGGTGACCCAAAAGCCCTTTCCTCTGGGCTGGGAGCAGGAGGACAGATGGTGGCCGGGAATCCCCTTCCTCTGGACCAGGATCAGTGGGATGGCGGCTCAGAAGCCCCTCCCTCTGGGCCGGGAGCAGTGGTACAGAAGGTGGCCCAAAAGTCCTTTCCTCTGGGCTGGGTGCAGCAGTAGGGATGGTGGCCGGGAAGCCCCTTCCTCTGGACCAGGAGCAGTGGGACAGCAGCTTAGAAGCCCCTACCTCTGTCCCGGGAGCAGCGGAACTCAGTACCATGGTCTGGTGGTCCGGTGTCCTCTGCATCTTTGTAGTGTGGAACCAGGTGGTTGTACAGAGCAGCTGGGGGCGGGGGTGTCCAGTGGATTGTTGCTTTGGCGCAGGCTGATTCGGCATGTTCCGCATGACTGACAACCTCAGTAGGGTGTGCGCAGACCTGCCTGTCTGCAGCGGGCTGATTCGGCGTTTTCCACGTGACTCCCACAATCATCATTTTTGATTATCACTTTGTTTTTAAATTTTCCTAAGTCTCTAATTAACAAATGTTTACCTTTTTGGCTTGATGTAATTTATTTAGTGCTCATCTTGGCTTGACAGGTCAGAGAGAAGCAAGTTATACTGTATTTTAAACTTTTACTTATTTAAAAGTTTTAAACTAAACTTTTAAAACCCAGATATACTTTAAACTTTTAAAACTTTGATATACTATGCCTTTAAACTTTTGTTGAACTTTTTAAATTATAAAGATTAAAACTTTTTAAAAGTTTAGAACTAATAAAAGAACTTTTAAAACTTTTGAAAGTTTGAAACTTTTGAAAGTTTGGAATTTTTCAAAAGAAATTTTAAAACTTGAAAGTTTACAGCTTTTGAAAAGTTTAAAACTTTTGAAAGTTTACAACTTTTGAAACGTTTAAAACTTTTAAATTAGAAAGCTTGTTAAACTTTCTAATTTAAAAGTTTTAAGACTTTCCATAACGTTAATTATATAGTTAACTTTTTATGTTTTTAAATTTTCCAGATTTGAGATTTGAGGTCACTGAAAAATTTTAAATGATTACATCATTCTAAGTGCATTTAACCCTATTTTCAGAAAGAACACAGGCAGACATTTTATTATGATTTACTGCCATCATTCATACTTAGAATACTGACCTCCCCTCCACCTCCACACATAGCAATAAGTGCAGCCCTACCTCACCTACCCAAACCTTTAGGTGGGGCTCTGCTAACAAATCTTGATTAAAAAGAAGGGATTGCAAACTGGTGACTTATAGGACAAATAAAGCCTTGGATTTCTTTGACTAATATGATATTTTTAAAATATATTAAAAAATATCTTTAGGTATGGATGACCTGCTTGCTATAATTGTAGCCCCTCCCTGTTTACACAGAAAGTTATTTCTGTCTTTTAGTTGATAACTTTATTAATATCAGCTAACAGTTATTGGACATTTACTGTGCAATTTATCTACATTATTTAATTAAGTCACAATCAATATGAGGTATACTATTATTGGGCATCTTTGAAAAATAAGTCCCATTTTACAGCTCAGCTCTTCCTGGGAGGCATCGATATTTGTTGAAGGGTCTGCATAGTGAGGGTGAAACTGGCAGACATTGTTGCTGTTCGGTGCCATTTCTGTCTCATAGACAGTTCTCTTTGGAAAGTTAAATTATGGTCAGAAAAGTAATTAATAATTTTAATAATTACTAAAAAGTAATTAGTAATTAATCTTGTGGTTTTTGTGGTAGTGGCTGTTGTTTGATCAGGTAATTAGTGACTTTTCTGTGGAGGTAGCCCTGAGTTGTGCCAGGTGGCCAGAGTGCATCCCCTTTCTCAGAACTGATGAATATAGGCACTGTGATTTCAATATCTCCTTTTTCTGGTATATTATTGGTTGGAATATTAGCTATTGTTTTGCCTAATTTCTCTAATAGCAAAGGTTACATTTTGACATTATTTTGCCTAATTTATTTGGCATCCATCTTTGTGCTGGAAGTTTTTTTGCTCTGTTCCCTTGATTAAAAACTACTTGTTTGCCATGTCTCCGCATTATTTTATAGTCTGCACAGGTAAACATGCTGATGGCAAAGTTTATGTATTATTGAATTATAATGAACAGGTCACTTTTGAGGAGGAATAGGTCATTTGGACAGCCAGACTGATGTGCTTTATTGTCTATCGTCCTGATTGGTAACTTCATTCTCCTCTGTTGTGAGGGTGTGTTTTATTTGTTCACTAGTTATTAGTATGAGCCAGTAGGGCAAGGGGATATTTTAAATACCACATGTTCTTTGCATTGTGCCACTTTGAATGTACATACTGAAGGTATACTCTTGTGTCTATTTACAGAAACAAGAGGGTTTTGAAAACCAAGAGGAGGAGGGGTGGAAGAGGGGGCCGCAATCCCGGCCTCCAACCCCAGAGGAGTGAAGCAACACCAACATCTGGGAGGTCACCTCCCACCCCAAGAGTTCCCATGGGCCCGGCTGACTGCCCACCACCTCCCCCTCCACCTCCCCCCAACAACAACAACAACAACAACAACAACAACTCCAAACCTAGTGGCCACAAGAGTCCCTGTGTGCCCAACATGACCGAACGCAGGCGGGATGAGCTCTCTGAAGAGATCAACAACTTGAGAGAGAAGGTCATCCGGCAGTCCAAGGAGAACAGCAACCTCCAGAACCAGGTGCAGAAACTCACAGAGGAGAACAGCACTCTCCGCGAGCAGGTGGAACCTACCCCTCAGGATAACCAGGATGACATTGAGCTGCAAGGTGCTGCAGCAGCTGCTGTCCCGTCGTCCACCCCAACTGAAGAAGAGTGCCCAGAAGACTTTCCTGACAAGTTTGACGGCAACCCAGACACGCTGTCTCCTTTCATGTCCCAGTGCCAGATCTTCATGGAGAAGGGCACCAGAGATTTCTCAGTTGATCGTATCCGTGTCTGCTTTGTGACAAGCATGTTGACCGGTCGTGCTGCCCGCTGGGCTTCTGCAAAGCTGGAGCGATCCAACCATCTGATGCACAATTATCCAGCCTTCATGATGGAAATGAAGCATGTCTTCGAAGACCCCCAGAGGCGTGAGGCTGCCAAACGCAAGATCAGACGTCTGCGCCAGGGAATGGGGTCTGTCATTGACTATTCCAACGCTTTCCAGATGATTGCCCAGGACCTCGATTGGAATGAGCCTGCGCTGATTGACCAGTACCACGAGGGCCTCAGTGACCACATTCAGGAGGAGCTGTCTCACCTCGAGGTTGCCAAGTCCCTGTCCGCCCTGATCGGCCAGTGCATTCACATTGAGAGGAGGCTGGCCAGAGCCGCTGCTGCCCGCAAGCCCCGCTCCCCTCCCCGGGCACTGGTCCTGTCCCACCAGCACCAGGTCGATCCCACCGAGCCCATTGGAGGCGCCCGCATGCGCCTCACCCAGGAGGAGAAGGAAAGGCGCCGCAAGCTCAACCTCTGCCTCTACTGTGGAAATGGAGGGCACTACGCCGACAACTGTCCTGCCAAGGCGTCCAAGTCTTCACCGGCGGGAAACTCCCCGGCCCCGCTGTAGAGGGACCATCAGCGACCGGGCCAGAAATCATTAGGTCCCAAGATGATTCTCTGTCACCACATTTACAAGTAATGCTCCAGATCCATCTCCCAGGCAGACACACCCTGTTTGTCAGAGCCATGGTCGATTCGGGTGCTTCTGGCAACTTCATCGATCATGAATATGTTGCCCAAAACAGAATTCCCCTGCGAGTCAAGGACTGGCCAATACTTGTGGAAGCAATTGATGGGCGCCCCATAGCATCAGGCCCAATTGTCCATGAAACTCACAACCTGATAGTCGACCTGGGAGATCACCGAGAGGTGCTGTCCTTCGATGTGACCCAGTCTCCATTCTTTCCCATTGTCCTGGGGGTTCGCTGGCTGAGCATACATGACCCCAACATCACCTGGAGCACTCGGTCTATCGTGTTCGACTCCGAATACTGCCGATACCACTGCCGGATGTATTCGTCAATACCTCTGTCACTGCCACCAGCAGCACCCCACCGGTCACTTTATTACCCAGTGGATGGGTACAGAGTTTACCAACCAGTGAGATACTACTGCGTCCAGAATGTGTACACTCCAGTAGATGAGCATGTCTACCCAGATCACCGGCTGGTTGATCCCCACATCGAGATGATCCCTGGAGCACACAGCATTCCCAGCGGACATTTGTATTCATTGTCCGAAACCGAGATGGCAGCTCTCCGTGACTTTGTGGCCAGAAACGTGAAGGATGGCCTGATCACCCCAACAATTGCACCAAATGGAGCCCAGGTTCTCCAGGTGAAGAGGGGATGGAAGCTGCAGGTATCTTATGATTGCCGAGGTCCAAACAATTTCACCATCCAGCATCAGTATCCTTGCCTGTCTATTCCAAATTTAGATGACCAAGCACACCTAGCAACATATACCGAATATGTTCCTGAAATTCCTGGATACCAGTCATACCCTGCATATGCCACCTGCCCTACCTATCCAGTAGGATATGCGTGGTACCCAGTGGGACGAGATAGTCAAGGAAGAGCTCTCTACCTACCTGTCATGATCACTTGGAATCCACACTGGTACCGTCAACCTCCAGTACCCCAGTATCCGCCCCCACAGCCACCACCCCCACCACCACCTCCCCCACCACCTCCCTCTTACAGTACCTTGTAAATACCTGTCATGTTCTTCAAGGTCTCCACCCTCAAAGTTTATTCCTGTGCAGTTTCTCAATCAGTGACTGTGTGCAAAATTGAGCTACTGTATCTTAAGGTCACCTGAGGCACATCCTCTCTGAAAGGCTACGGAAGGTCAGGGCAATCTTGCTTGAATTGGCACACATCCTAAAGTATCGACCCTCAGTAATTCTGAGAGCAACAGAATACCAACAAGTTGTCTCTCAGTTTTCAACCTTGACTGCCAATTAATATGTTTACTGTTGCCTGGAGTTTACCTGGATAAACCTCTGTCACAGTCTAAATTATAGGCTGCCAATTTCTTTACAGAGAAGCTGATGCACACACAGGAAATGCTGATTTTTTGTGGAGGTAGAGACAGGAAGGAGGATGTGATCTTTCTTACAGTTTCGGTCCTCTACAGTATTGAAGACCGACGCCTTATAAAGGAAGCCACAATTAACTGGTGCAGTGTGGAAAGGCTTCCATGATTCTCTTGCTGCACCCATAGGAACTTCACCATCTTCAAAGTCCACTTTCATGGTTCCTTAATTCTCAAGGAGCAGCACCTGGACTGGTTCTCCTAGGAGCAGGTAAAACCCCTGCAACATGGAACACCTTAGGCCTGAAAAAGAAGTGCTCTCTTAGACAGACTTGCATGTTAAAGAACGTGCCTTCACATCCTGGTGCAAATCACATGTACCCAAGATCTCTGGCTTTGACACAACATCTTAGCATCACCATGCTAGTAATAGCTCCCATACGGTTTTAACCATCCTGTACCTAATTCTTAAAAGGTACTGATACTTCAGAAAGAATTTTCACGAGTGCTGTCAATTGGCTGAATTTTTGAAGCATCTGTCTGTGACTCTTTGCCATATGCATCTGGGCATTCCATTCCTTCATCAGATGAAGCATTAGGATGTGTAGAGAGCGGACATGATTTAGCACCCAAACCTGTGCATGGGAGCAATTAGAGCACTGGGCACTGCCTAAATGACCAGAGGCTGACATGAAACTGCCAATGGATGAAAGGCCTCAGAAACCAACTCACATGACTCAGTCCAGTGATACTTCTGGTGTCTCCTGGATGGTTTTTGCTCACCAGGGACTACCTGACTTCTTTTAGTCTGTTCCCTTGCTACTACCTTGACCCATTTGTCTAATCTCTCTTTCTTTAATTCTTTACTACTGCCATTAATCCTGCTGCAGGATCTGTGTCACCTTCTGCCTGGTCGCTGAGACTCCATGCTGCTGTCATGCATGGAAGAAGTCTTGAGGAAGCACGTGTTTCAACACATACAGTCTCCAATTGCCAAATCAATTTGAGCAGTAGGAAATCACATGCTTTACATTTCTAATTGCCTGCCATGGAGAGAAGTCTTCATGGTGAAGTTTCCTCTTCCATCAGCATCACCTTTCACACCCTTATGACCACTCCCCTTATCCTTGCATGTTTTATCATTCTTTACCAGTGTTTTAAAGTGGTGACTATGCTTTCAGAAATTTCCATTGAATTACAAAGTACTATTCAATTTTTACTTAAACTAAGTAAAGATAACATAGAATATTTCCCCACTGTGAACTTCTTACAGCACTGTGAATGAGAAGCTTGTCAAAACTGAAGTGTTTGTAAAATAGCTTATCTTGTTGATCCTCCATCTTCAATTTCAATATCATAAAAAATCAATACTACCAATTGGGCCTTTAAAAATCACAAAAGAATAGAAACATTCAAAGAAGAAATCTAGTTTGATATTTAATTCAAAACAACTTTTCCTTGCTTTCTTCAGTGGAATCAGAAAGCTTGTCAATCACTTGTGTGTTTTAGAGTAATTACTTTGGAAATGGTGCATTTGTGCTTCTGGACTATCGTGAAGCGTCAGTTCAGTTTACCTCAGAATCTCACTCCAGCCTCCATCCATTTGAAGTCAAGTCGTTTTGTGTCAGATTTACAGTTATCAATTGATCTTCGAGCTGCAGAGTGCCCAGAAAAGGGCAGTTACCTGCAGCCCTGGCATGTGCACACGGACATTTGCCATCACTGCAAGCAGAAGTCTGGAGAAGTTGGCCAAGGACAGGACAGTCGGGGAGAGCATGCTGATGTGGGTTCTCAGCTCACAAAGTCCCTGACACATATTGGACTGTTTGCTAAAGCTTGTGGTTAACTTTCAGCAGTGTGTGCTATGCTTTCTATCTATACTATCTATAAATGTTAGGTGTTAAGGATAAGTAATCTTAAATTAATTCTATAGTATTGAAATTTGTGTAAGTTTCCTTTCTCACAACTGATTTGTTTTTGTTGATCAAATTTATATTTGGATAAGTTTCCTTTCTCTCACCTGACTTGTTTATGCTGATCAAAGTTATGTTAATTGACTCTTTTAAGAATTTCTTTTGGCATTTCCAACAAAAATGCCTTTTTTCATAAAAAAGAAAAAAATGTTAGAAAGGGAGCAGAATGAAACAGAAAGGAGATAGATAAGACAATTGAATCAAGTAGAAAAAAGATCATAGTTGCTAGTTGAGCCTGAAGTGAAGTAGCTGAGGATGTTGGAACAGGAAGTTTACATACCTTTTTGAAGAGTCAATTTAGTTTGAGCCAGGAGGTATTTGTCTTGGGTGTTAGTAGTTTGATTAAATCATGTGAAGAAATACAGTGAGCTTGCACAACATAAGAGGAGTACATCTCTGTGGTGCAGCCTGGAATTCTGTTCAAGTTTGCAGGTACCTCTTGGACTCCTGAATTGATCCAGCTGTCATCCACCACAGACACCGTACGTCAGACTAGTTCCAAGATTGGCAACAGAGAACAACCTTCTGGAAAGACCTGAGCAATCATGGAGGACCATCTGAGGAAAGAAGAGCCCAGTGGGAACCATGTTACATTTGATGGCACTGAAAGTTCTTTGTTGTTTCAGATTGTAGAACACTGTTGTATTGGTCTGTGAAACATCGCATTGTTTTAATTTCTTTATGTTATCAGTTTAAGTAATTGGGGATATATATTTAAGCATAAGTATTTTAGAGTGGGAGGGACTATTAAGTAATCTTAAGTGGGTGGGGTTATTTAGATAGTTAGGATAGTATTATGTATTAGATATCTCTCTAAGTGGACACATGTACTTTCCTATGACCCTTTACCCTGTAATTGTTACCTTTAAGATTCAAATAAATTCAGAAGGCACTGCAGGGAGTTCAACCTATTGAGAGTTAATTGGACATGGATAAAACCTTATGGAAAGTTCAAAGATGATTAGATGAATAATTGAGTAAAGGCCCTAGGTATTAACTCTGGGGATCAGATTGTTAGCAAAACCTTGAGAGTTACAGGATGGATAGGTACCCTTTGAGAAATTGTTGCCGGACTGAATTTGATTACAGTAGATGGTAAATATTCCTGGAAGTTGTAGCAGAGTGATGAATAACGACCCTTGTTTCTGCCCCTGTCAGCAGCCCTCCCTCCTTCCCTAACCCTGCACTTCCTACCCCCAATCCCTACCCCTTCTTCAAACTATATTGCTGTATTCTCTTTATATTTCTCTGTATTTACTAACATTGTATTGATCTTATAACAATTCAATAAAGATTTAGTGGTTAGTGCAAATTGTGTCCTGATCATTTCAGCATCCACCAGCATCAAGGGCATGGGGTGGGGATAGGGAGGATGAAGGAAGGTGGAGTGGTGGGGGGGGTGAGATGAGAGGATGACTGGGTAGGAGTAGGGATGAGGGAAGATGAGAGGAGAAGAGGAAAGTTGGGAAGGGTGGAGTTAGGTGAGTTTGGCATGGGGGTGATCTATAAAGAACACATTAATCACACAGCCCAATATCACATATACAGAGTACCCTAGGAAATCAACATATTCCAGTTGCAGCACATCAACATAATAATAAACCAATAGTCATTCCAATGACAACAGATTTTAATACAAATATTGCTTGGACTACTTGAGTTTTACTCAAAGGAGTAAGGAAGGTGGGACAGTTATAAAAGTTGTGGGGAGAGGGAGATTGGAAGAAGGGGAAGTGGGGGGAATGAAGTATGGGAAGAAAGGGTGGGAAAGATGGGAATGGGGTTGAGTTGAGGATGAGGTGGTGTATGAAGAACACATCAATCACATGACTCACTATCAAAGCCAAATATTGACATATAATAAATAACACAACAAACATTTAATATAAAAATTACTTAGCATATTACTGAGACTTATCAATAGGCGTAGGGGAGGAGGATAGTGGGAGAATAAAAGGGAGATTGTGGAGAACTGAAGGTGGGAAGGGAGTGCAGGAGGCTGGGATGTGGTGAAGGTGGAGTATAATGGAGACAGGGTGTCAACCCAGAACTCAGTATCAGTGTTATACCCAGAACACCCCAGTTGATTCCAGCTACAAAAATAACATAAAATAAAGTCACAATTAACAGTGACTCTGGTGACATAACAAACTTTATTTTTATTCCCAGTATGGCTTGGCATACTTAAGATTTATTAATAAGAGGGGGTAGGAAGACAGGGAAGAATGCAGGGAAGAGTGAGGTAGGAAGAAGAAAGGAGGGGCTGGGAAGAGGGGATGAGGAGGGTGGGAGCGGGGGTGACTTGGGATGGGGGACGCTATGCTGTATAAAGAACACTTCAGTGGGACGTTGGATCATTTGTGTAACTAGAAACCCCAGGAATCAGCTAATATTTCCTACCAGCAAAACATGAACTTAGAAAGGAAGCAACCAATTAATAGTGACTTGAGTGACACAATCAGCTTGATTTCTAATATGAATATTACTTAGATGAATTGAGACTTATTAATTGGAGTGGCAAAGGAGGGACTATGGGAAGAGTAGGGGCCAATGGGAGGAAGAGGGAGAATGGCAGAGTGGGGGATGGGAAGTGGGGGATGGGAAAGGGGTGCGTTTGGGATAGAGGTGACATACAAAAACACACCGATCACACAACGCAGTATCAATTATATTCCCAGAATACCCCAGGAAATCAACTAATTCACTTCAGCTGCAAAATTTTAAACATATATAATAAAACCAATCAATAGTGACACCGCTGACATAACAAGCTTTATTTCTAGTATCCATATTATTTCAAATGCTTGAGATCTATTAATTGGAGTGGAGGGAGATTGGGAGGATGAGGGATGAGAATGGGGATGACAAGGGTGGGGTTGGAGATGGTGTCCAAGAACACCCCGCATTATAAGGGCTGTAGCCGGAATAGCCCAGGAAAGCAACCAATACATTCCAGCTGCAAAGCATTAACATGTGTACTAATAAAGCAATCAATTAATAGTGTGACTCCAGTGACATAACAAAACACACACATCGATCACAGCTCAATATCAAGGATATGCCCAGAATATCCCAGGCAATCCATTAATTTATTCCAGGTGCAAAACATTTACATAGATAATAATAAAAGTGCCTATTAATAGCACCTCCAGTGACATAATACATTTTACTTTTAATATCAATTTTACTTTGAATACTTGAGATTTATTATTAGGAGTAGGGAGGGTAGGTTATAGGGACCAGGGGAACAGACAGTGGGTGGAAAGTGTGCAGTACAGGTGGGTCTGGGATGGGAGTGGTGTATAAGGAACACATCAGTCACACAACCTAGTATAAGCTGTATACACAGAATACCACAGGAACCCAACCAGTACATTCCAGCTGCAAACATTAACCTAGGTACCAATAAAGCCATCACTTAATATTGACATGCTGGTGACATAATATAACAAACTGTATTATTTATTTATTTATTTATTTTTGGTACCGGGATCGAACTCTGGTCCTTGCGCTTGTGCAGCAGGCCGCGAAACCACTGAGCTAAATCCCCAGGCACAAACTATTTTGAATATCAATATTACCTAGAATTCTTGAGATTTGTAATTCAGGAGGGGAGGAGGGGAGAGTAGGGAGGAAGTGGTGAGGGTCAAAAGTGTAAATGGGGGAATGGGAAAAGGTGGTACGGAGGGTGGGTGTGGGAGTGACTTTGAATGGAAGGCTGTTAGATAAGGATCACGTCAATCACAGTCCAGTGTCAATGGCGTGCTGATTCCAGGAAGTCAACTAATATGCTCCAGATGCAGAACATTTCCCTATAAAATAGAGCCACTAATTAATAGCAGTTTCAAACATTTTATAACCAATCTTATTTTTGTATCAATAGTACTTGGAATATTTGAGATTTATTAATTTTTGTGATAAGGAAGGAAGAGTAGGGAGAGGAATGGAAGAGAGTAGGAAGAATGGAGGAGTGAGGAGGGCAGGGGGTGGGAAGAGAAGATGGGTCAGAAAGGCAAGATTGGGGGTGACTTTGGGGTGGGAGTGACATGTAAAGATCACACGAATCATATAACCTAGAATCAATTGTCCAGAATACCTCAGGAAATCATCTAAATTATTCCATCTGCAGAATGTTAACCTCCGTAATAAAGCCATCAATTAGTGCTGATTCCGATGACATATTAAACTTTATTATCAATATTACTTAGAATAGTTGAGATTTATTAATTATAATGGGAGGATGGAGCAATGGGGAGGGTGGGGAACACGGGAGTCAGGAGGTGAGAAGGGAAAGGGAGATGGGAGGAGAAGTAGGAATGGTGGGAATCTAGTGAGTATGGGATGAGGCGAGGTTTATAAATGACACATCAATCACACAGCTCAATGTCAATGATATTCTAAGGCAGCGCTAAGAAATCAACTAATATATTCCAGCTGCAAAAGGATAACGTATAAATAAAGTCACTGATTAATGGCCACTCCAGTAACATAACCTCTATTTTTACATCAGTGTTACTTGGAATAGTTGAGAATTACTAATTGGAGTGTATGAGGGGGAGAGAGGAGGGGTCTGGAAATGTAGAGGAATGGGGAGGGTGGGAGATGGGATGAGAAAGTGGGAATGGGGGTGATTTGGGGGTGTGAGGTGGTGTATAGAGAGCACATCAGTTCCGAAAGCCAATATCACTTATATACCCAGAATACCCCTGGAAATCAATTAATATATTCCAGCTATAAAATATGAACACATAAAATAAGATTACCTGTTAATAGTGTCTCCCATAACATAATAAAATAAACTTTTTAAATGTGAATTTTGCTTGCTACCCCGGAGATTTATTGATAAGACTGAAGAGGATGGGACACTGTGAGCATGAAGGGGAAGGAGGGTTGGGAGGAAGGCGGTCAATGAACAGAGAGGGTGGTGCACCAGGCACGGGGGTGAGTCTGAGATGGAGGCAGTGGGTAAAGATGACCTCAAACACAACCCAGTATCAATAATATACTTCAACTATTTCAGGAAATCAACTAATTCATTACACCTGCAAAACTTGAACATATAAAGTCAGCCAACAGTGAGGACTCCAGTCCAATACGGACTCTAGTGATATAATGGACCAAACTATTTCTATTATTAATTTTTCTTGGAGTACTCAAGATTTATTAACAGAACGAGGGAGAGTGAGAAATTGGAGAGGATGGGGAAATAGAAAGAGGTATGTGCCAGATGGGACATGTTGGGAGGGGCAAAGCAATATTATAGTGAATGTGTCACTACACAATCCAGTAGCAATATGTCCAGAGCACCCCAGGAGCCACTTATTCCCACTGTAAAACTTTACCATATAAAGTAGTCACAGATTAATAGCTATTCCAGTGACATGATAAACTTTACTTTTAGTAACAATTTTGCTTGGAACTTGGAGATTTACTATTACTATGGAAAGATGCAGAACATTAGTGAGGGCAAAAAGGAAGACATATTAAATACATCAAAGACATCTGGGAAGCTAACATCAGGTTTATTTTTACACCAATTAATACTAAAATAAATCAGCATGACAGTGATATTCATCTGAATAAAATGTGGTCAGTGGAGTCATAAGACATACATTCTATGAGATTTTGATTACAATGACATCTGAGTTATAGAGTAACAAGTTGCACACAGAAAATCTGAAGAGTTTCTGTTTGCCAGTTTCAAAGACTTGCTAGGTTCATATGACATCGTCAAATGTCATAACCACCAAATGGTTATCAGGAAGGTAGTAATTAAAAGGAAAAGTACAGGACCTGTGATGAAACCTGAAGCAGGCAAGCTGAATAGCTGTCCACCAGCCCAGCCCAGCTCTCTCAGACTCCATGGTGTGCAGGGTGGAGGTGGTGGGTGAGGTTTTGAGATGTTAGGAGTGCAGCTTCTTGGCCAAGAACCACTTTGCTATCAAATGCCTGCTTGAGGGTTTACTTATAATTTAAATAATATGGTGCAATAGTGGTAAGCCAAATCACTTGGAAAGAAAATAGAAATATTCTCCTTCTTGTTTTCTTACACCTAGACTGCTTCCCATCCAGACCCATGATTTTTTAGGTTTCTTTCTTTTTTATTTTATTAATACAGGGTTTTTTTGTTTGTTTTTTTGGTACCGGGGATCGAATTCAGGTCCTTGTGCTTGCTCAGCAGGCGGCGAAACCACTGAGCTAAATCCCAGGCCCTATTAATACACTTTTTCAGTACACAATAATTTTATTCTGTGAGTGGTACATGTACATAACACATCTTTTTACTTCCTCTTTTTTCCCTTCCTTCTCCTT